GCCGTTGAGCGTATATGTATGTACGCAATATTTGGAACTTAAAACATTTTTTGAAATAAGCGCCGACAAAGAAAAATGCCATACAGCACGCTCATTGCATGCGGCTTTTGAAAATCGTAGAAATTATTTGATACTTATTTTTTAGGACATTTTTTAAATGAAATAAATTCTTTGCAGCTTATGTAGAAATTATAATGTTCATAATCAGACTTTTACGTAAAGTTATTAAATCAGACGTTATTGCAACTTTGAATATTGACACGTTTGATATAAGTGATATTAAAAATATAATGGCACACATTTCCAATTATAAAAATATACAAAACTTAGTTTTCGACGATACGTTTACAGAAGAGGCTAATGAACTGCGTGATAAACTTGATTTAACAAGCATATCAAAAGACTGTCAAACAATTTTAATCACCCTAATCGAAGAACTTTTGCAAAGATTACATAGTCAATTAAATACTTTTAAAAAAGGTTTGATTTTGTCACCAGAAAAGTGTTTGAATCACAAGAGGGCGAGTTTCAGGGAGCTGCCAACAGACTATTTGACTTTGAAGGAAAGAGAAGCAGCGGAAACTGCATATTCAAATCTTTTAACTTTTCCATGGAATAACTTTTTTCAGAACGGCATTCCATCCGACTCCAAAGAATTTTGGATAATTGCGTACGGAGTGAAAATTGGAAATATAAGTAAAGTAGCCTTCATATTATTATCCTTGCCGCACTCAAATGCTTTTGTTGAGCGCGTTTTTTTCCGTAATGAATTCAACAAAAACTAAGATTCGAAATAGGATAGTTCGAATAAAATGCTATATGAAGGCTAATAGTTTCTGCTGCAAAACATTTCCAATATCAAACAGTATGTTATCAAGGTTGAATAGCTCAATATATGACAACAACACAAATGTAAATGATTCAGACACTATAGGTGATTTTGAAGAAATTGTGGAAATAGCTGATCTCGCCTTATTATAGGTTTTTATTTTATTTTTAGCGCCGAGCGCGTAAGAGCGGATTGTGCGATTAATCAATTAATGAGTTAAAATAAATTTAATAATTGCACAGTCCTATTGTAAGATGTTTTAATACAAATATTTTTAAAAAATATGCGTATTTTAAAGAAAATAGTTTGTACATCACTAGTATATAAATGATTTGTGTTATTTGTTATTACCCTGAAGGTATTATATTCGTTTTTGATTTTAACAAGATCTCATTTTTGCAATAAAAGATTTGTTAAGTCGATTTCATGAATTTTATTAAAAAAAAAAGAAATATTGGCGATGTTTAGAGTAAGTCAATTAAATTTTAATAAAATATTTCACTGCTGACAAAATTGAAATGAAAACTAGATTTGTGCGTACAAACACGGTCGAAAAATAATCTTGTTAAGTGTGAGCATCAGTTCGGACGGTCAAATTATTCGGCCGAAATCGGCCTATGATGCAATGTGCGCCTAGCGTAAGAAGAATTTTGTTCGATGTACCCACTAGAACTTGAAGGGAGATCTCCGTATGTGAGGAATAAAGGAGTACTCCCCTTGACCTGATTTGGGAGCAATAAGAGAGATTTGTCGGTTTTGTACTCCTATATTACTCGCTTAGGAGTCAGATGGGAGATATCCTAAACGAGCAACTAAAGAATGCTCCCTGAGACAATATTAGTGAGCAATCAGCGATTTTTTTTTTTGTACTCCTGTGTTACTCGCTTAGGAGCAAAAAGCGATGTCTCCTAAACAGTGTTGGCAAAATGTTAGTCTGATTAAGGATTAAAAATTAACACTTAAAATGTTAATCGCGTGATCATCTGTACGATTAATGATTAAATTTTCTTAATCGTTAATCATCGGGTGTGATTACGATTAATTAATTTTAATCATTAATCGTTAATCCAATTAAAAATAAAATCCGATTAAGTGCCCTAGTCTGTCCGATTTTGAAACCAAACACGAGTTATAGTTATTCTTTTGTGTTTCACGCTTATAATAATATATAAATATAATAAAAAAATAATTATTATTTTTATTAGTAAAACATAAAGAGGGAATTTTTACAATTTTACAACCCATCACACCTAGTTTACATAACGTCTGTTGGAATAAATTTTAATGAAAACGCACACCAAATTGCTTAGATTTATGAGGAAACCCGACTTAGCCATACCCGATTAACTCTCCTTGTGTGCACAGGAAAGTTCCAACGTAAATTAATCAATCACCAAACCTACTTAATCAAATTAAGAGTTAATGATTAAAAATAAATTTTTTTAACCGCGGTTGCGATTAGCTGTTTAATCAGATCAAAATTAATCATGATTAACTGTAATCGGATTGAGTTCAATCGAATTAGCTAATTGATTAAAAAATCAATCGATTAGTGCCAACACTGCCCCTTAACGAGCAAAAAATATTGCCCCATGATTCATGATTTGGGAGCAATGAGCGAGATTTTTCGTTTTTGTACTCCTGTATTACTCGCTTAGGAGTAAAAAGCGATGTCTCCTAAAAAGAGTAATCCAGGAGGGTTCCTTTTACATGATTTTGAAGCAATAGGTATTAAAATTTAAAGAAAATTGTGTGCTTTGGAATAAGTTATAATAAAAAAAAACAGTATAAGAACACAAAATTTAGAGAAATATGTACATATGGTGAAGAACATAACTAAAATGGCAAGTCAAAGCGAATTTAAATTACTTTTGCATAAGTTTATCATAAAGTTATTAATTACTGACTACAATGATTTTGTAGATTCCGGAAATCTTTTATCAAAAAGACATTTAAGGCGCCTTGCGAAGCAGGACTTAGGAGCTTTCACTATGAATACCGTTGAAGAACCGGAATCTGCTGAGACTTTAGTTTTATGTAAAAACGAGCAGGAAGTTGTAAGCATTTTTTTTTTTAAATACACGCACATATTTATAATTTTTTTATAAATGATTAATATCATTGCAGATTACTTATCTAAGAAGCAAGTTCGGAAAAAGGCCAATTTCTAAATTTATCGGTGAGATTTTTGGAGACGAGTTCATTTTAAAAATCTACTGGGATGGCGCAAAAAATAAGGTGGCAATTAATAGTTTTAGGCTTTTTGATACGTTTTTTTTTTGGTTATGATACCAAATTTTTCTGTAATTCTTTTGTTATAAATATATACTCTTTTACAGATGCTCTGAAGGAGAAAAACTTAACTTACGAAGCCTATGAAGCAAATTTTAAGCAAGCCTTCCACAAACACAAAGCTTCCATTTATAGAAAAACGCATAGATTAAAAAAGTTATAATGTTGGTTTGATTGAATTTTTTATTGTTGATACCACAGGCCAGCGAAATTTAAAATTTTTCCCCCTCCTATAATTATGTAATTTTTTGAATATCTAGGTATCTATCTTCGGTTTTTTCTAGCACGTCAAGATTTTTTTGTTTTTTTATATGTATGTATGTATATTTTAAGACTTTTAGCAATTTGTATGAAAAGCCAAAAATTATTTAAGTAAAAATTGAATTTTTACTTAAAAGCAAACAGTGTTAGTTAAAAGCACCCATAAATAGATTAAGTAAATCAGAAAAACTTATGTAACTTCGAAGTTAACGCTAAGAAAATTGATAAAAGTTATTTTCTTAGCGTTAACTTCGAAATTACTTAAGTTTTGCTGATTTACTTAGTCTATTTATGGTTATTTTTAACGAATGCTGCTGGTGTTTAAGTACAAATTTAATTTGGATGTTCATGCAAATTGCTAAAAATCCAAAAATATACATGGCATCAATAAAAAAATATTTACGTGCTCGAAAAAACAACAAAGATGCATTTTAATTTAACATACCTAAGATAAGTTTTAAAATTGATCGGTGAAATCGCGCATTAGATATTCAAAAAAATAACAATTATTGGACGGGGAGAACAAAATTTCAATTTTTTGGTGGCCTATGTACTTAATCTGTTTCATTGTACAAGAAAAAAGAATTAGTTTAATTTTTTGTTACAAGTATTTATTTAAAAATAGATTAATTAATCGAAAACCCTGCTTTCACTTAATGGAAATCGATGTTAAAAAAGCTACCTGCGGACAACAACTGGCCTCGGGAAAAACGGCCAACTGTTCAACGTCCCATAATCATAATAAAGACATCAATGAGATTGATGACGGTATCATTATTATCAACTAAATATGACACAGTCGAGGTCAGGAGGAAGTCATAATAAATGGTACCGAATTTCGAAACAGAAACGCTGCTCTAAGCCGTTTACCCGGAACAACAACACACCGGAAAATAAATTTCATTGGGCACCAAGAAACATTTAGCCTAAATTATGTTCATGATTTGAACCAAGAGAATATTAATCACATTGATGTATTAAAACAAGAAATCGACACAAAAACGATAATTTGTGTTGCTGTGCTGACAATTATCATAGCATTAATAGTGATAAAGCTCATTACAAGTAAATACAAAAAGCGTTCATTGAAAAAATCAGTTGATGGAGTGGTTGAGAGAATCAAACAAAGGATCGGGGACGAACCTAACTAACTAAGGAGGGTAGGAGTTAATCCGACATATTGTCAACAAAGTATTGTCAAGTAAACATCCTCCTGAAACGTTGACAATATCACAGTTTGGATCACCACGAATCGCGGAGCGAACATATGCGGCCGATAATAATAACAAATGAGTTTCAGCGCATGAACACCACGCTAACTAATTAACTGTGTGGCCAGCTGAATCGATTACACGCATATTCAATAAGTTCACTTATTCCAAACTTTATCCAAAATTTATATTTAAATATTTAGTGTATTCAAGGGTGGGAAAACCTGGCCTATGCTGCTTTCTTTTTTGACTTAGTGAAATTACTACTAAGGGCCTGTGCCAATTGATAGAAAAGTTCTATGGTGGAAAAACTTTTTTCTATGGTGAGAAAATTTTACATTTCTGCTGTGCCAATTCGTAACTTTTTACTGCTGGAAATCGAGTTTGCTATTTATAAAATGCAGCAATTATATAGAAAATATTTGCCTTTGATGATTTCAATTCTTCTGGAACTGAAATCCATGCATTTATTAGACCTTTTAGCAGTAATATTAGAAATAAAAACACGTAAGTGTGTTCACAAAAATGTTTAAAACCGTGTACAATTGTTTCCAATAAAAACATATGTCATTTTAGGGTATTATGTACATGCAACAAGACGTTTATTCCAAAATACTAAGCAGCATTATGAACGGCGATAGCAAGACTACAAAAATGTATCTTAGGTTGTCCTCTGCTTCGTTTCGAAAAATTGTAACTCACATTCCCAAAAAGCGCCACGGATGGTCAGTGGAGTACGAAGTCATTTGCTAAAGTCTTCAAATTATTTATATTGTTCTTACTCACTTCCAGCCTTCGTTGCTGTTGGCGTTCTTTGAACTGAACCAAACATCCTTGTCAATGCGCTTTTCCAGAAGGATTCTGCGTTCTGAACTGCTCCCTGTAAAATAGTATTTTTAATTAAAAAAATACATAACGCCTTTTCATATGTAAATGTGAAATTAAATCTTACAAGTTATATAGCTTTTCTTTATTTTTTTTGCCGGCGGGACCATGTTCTTTTATTTCCACTCGCTTTTGTTTTCTTTAATTTATGTGTATACGTACGTTGTTCGTTCTTCTTCTTGATAATGCTTGCTGTCAAATTTTTCACTAGCCCTGCCGTTTCAAACATTTTTATTCACCTCATAGCTGTCAAAAATTTACTATCCAGAGAACTTTTCTATCAATTGGCACAGGCCCTAAATACAAGGAGAAATGAGAAATGTTGTCTTTGTATAAAAATAGGCAACACTGCCGATATTTTCATCGATTGTTTCGTGGAAATTCATTTTCCTATTGCGCTAATTCAAGTAAGTATGCCAAAAAAATCAAAAATAATGGAAATATTTTGAATTAGAACAATAATTTATATATTTATTTGCAGGGTATCGGAGTTATTGATAATTTGTATTCAAAAAGTAGCGTTTTACAACAAGTGCAACCATTGCAAGTAAGTTTTGCGTACTAGGAACCCTGTGTGTCCAAGTGCAGCCGTTGCATACTTACATGTAAAAGTATAAATATTAATAAATATATTTTCTTGTGCAGGTCAAGATCATTTGGGTGTCCGTCCACTTTTGCTGGTGCATGTATTTTAACCACTTCAGCCTTTGGTTTAGTCAAGTGCAGCCTTTGCATATTTACAAGTAAGTATACCACTTCATAAAAGCGAAAGTGGAAATATTAATAATTATTTTTTTCTTGTGCAGGTCAGGATCATTTGTGTGTCCGTCCACATTCCCTGGTGCAGGGATTTTAACTACTGCAGCCTTTGGTTTAGACAAGTGCAGCCTTTGCATATTTACAAGTAAGGGATGTTGCGATACCAATAAAAGTATCGA